ATTTGATGGAAGGGTGTAGCAAAGGCCAAGAACCAATATGTTAAATGTTTTGGGGATGAAGCAGATACACACATTTCTCTTTACTTATGGCAATGAACTAGGCAGCTTTTGCGCGTCTACCATCGAGTGGTGCCGTGATGACTCATTTTGTAAGTGAACCCGGATGTTAGCATCACAAGGGCTGCCTAGACTAAACAAAACGGGATTTTCCATTGGATTTTGGAACATTGCAGAAAATACGTTCTATTGCAAACATACGTTTATGATACTTACACGTTTTTTACAGCACGATAGTCTCCACATATTTACAAAAGCCTTATGATTTTCGAAGCACAAATGCAATCACCAGAATTAAAATGGTAACGTTATTCTCGTTAGGACACAAACTATCTACATCACTGTTGCATCGCTGCACATCACCACCACTTATCTAAAGGCAAACTCGTATTTGTCTCGTTTAGGAGTCTAATTTAGACTGCTGTTTTTGACACACATTGAAGCTTCAGACATTCACAAGTTGGATATTTCCTGACGTATTTTATGTCATAGAACAAAACGTGAACATCTCTAGTTTGTGTTACCTACAGACCTTATTGAGTGCAGGTAACCAAACTATGAGACGAGTGGTCAAATGCTATCTTATTCCCGGCTTTTAGGACTTGGATCTGGCTTTCAATCTCACTTTTGTTTTTCATTCACATTGCCACAATTTGCCATGTCCACATTTTAATTAGTACAATCCTGTCAGTGCACTTTACAAAGTAGGCTGTGGTTTTCGTTTAATTACTCTGTATTTATGTTTCCCTGTTAGTCCCGAGTGAGAAAGTTCTTACTTGCTCAAGCAAAACAAGTTATTACCACCACAAGGCTTAGCAGAAAACGCTGTTAGAATCCTTTTGACTTTGATAACAACCTTGACAACAGCTTGTCAAAGCTAATGTCAAAAAAGTGTTGGATACTCTTTGCTCAATACACTATAGTATTTGTTTGAATGTTCCCCTCCGCATGAACTTTAAATGACTCAACAAAGACATTTAAAATATCAAATGTCCAATTTTTTTATTTTCTCACGGTTTTACCGTTTTGTTCCATTTCCTCTCTCCGCCTCCCTGAGTCATCTTTCTATGTTATTTTCTAATTCTCCTCGAGCCAGGGTGCAGGGAGGCAGACTGGGAGGAGAATTACAGAGAAGTTGGCGTTATGTAATTCATTATCTGGCTTCGTCTTGATTGGCTCACTTGGTTTGAGTTGGGGGGAGGGTGGAACAAAAGGCACGGTACAAAGAGTAGCCACGACAGCCAAGTAGTGTGGTGGCTGGCACTGCTTTCTTACATGGGTCATTGGTTTCAATATATATATACACACACTGTAAAGAGAGAAAGAGAAGGGAGGAGGATACATTTATCAGACCGGCTGCCCCTCCTCCTCATCATTACCTCATCTTTAACACTCCAAGGTCATTACTGTCTTCCAAAATGCTGAAGATTATGCTTTATGGGTTCTTCCCTTTCCTGTAGTGTGTTATATAGGTGTTGTGCATGTCAATGGTCTGCAAAGGCTAAAATCCAAAAGTTCCCTCCAGAGGGAGTTTCTCTCACACACTCCACCCCTGCCTGACACGCCTCAATTGAACTCCTTTGCTTTTATTGGCTAGCACTCCAAGACATTGTACTTGATAGGCTAAGGGGCGGAACATCTCTGTGTGACCAATCACATCAGAGCCAGTCAGCTAACCAATCAGAGCAGACTGAGCTCTGGTTTCAGACAGAGGGTGAAAAGAGGTGCTGCAGCACAGGCAGTATGAGAAAAGAAAATAGCTTTTTGAACATTAAAGCATGGAGACATGTCCCAGTGGAGGGATGAAAGACAAAGATGAACCTGAAAATAAAGCATAATAGGGCCCCTTTAAATACTTCTCATGTTTTGTTCATGATCAGTGTGTCTACATTTGTTGACAGCAGAGGAGAACGTTGGGTTAGTAAATAGGTAAATAAATAACAATGTCTGTACACAGACATCATAATGCATGATTTCACAAAGGCTCTATTGCTAGCCAGTGACAGATTGCTCAATGAAGCTTTCCATTATGCTTGCGGCACATCAAATGAATCAAATTACGGGTATTGTTCATGTTTCAAGGACTCTTGGAAAGGACCAGTGGCGCCACACTGACCATGCAGCTTCACTGTGACCATATAAAAGACAAAATGATTGGACAAAATAATCTGCTCCAACATGCCCAAAATAGAAGCTTGACTGTCTTCTAGAAATGTTGTATCTAAAGAAAAAATGGGCAATTATTTTCAAATGGAGCAATGCACCCTCAGGAAGAGCAGTCTGGCATCGCCCCCGCTGATAACGTGATGCCACAGGTGAGGAAAGTGCACCTGTTGAAATTAACCATACTTTGAAAGGTCACACTGGTACAATGTAGACACCACATGGTGCATTTAAATAGATGTCCAAGGAAGGGGAAAAGGGCAAAGGAGGACACATGGAAAGCTTTGGCAGAAGGAAAAGAAAGGATGGAAGGGGAGACGTTGGGTGGAAGAAAGAGATAAGAAGTAAGCAACAGTTACAAAGACAAAGAGTTGCAGCGAGAGGCAGCTTATAGCAACACCACTGTCCCCAGCACTGTGTGTTTGTCATCATCTCTCTGATTCACCGCCGTCTTACATAACGCCAAGCAGCAGGCCTTGTTTTTATATAACTGCTCACTGCAAGAAATGACCATCTCAGTGTGTGATTTAGAGCTGGATTTGGTCGGAGAAAGCATTAGTGCGAGGGCAGAGAAGGAACTAGTGTAAAATGACCTTTGCCCGAGCAAACAGCAATCTTAAACAAGAAAACTGTTTCCCTTGAACATCCACCTCAAGAAATATACTCTGTGCTAAATTCTAGGAAAAACGTAGCATTCTAGTTTCTGTTAATCGTTTCCAAACTCAATTACTGACTGACTGTGGGCATGCCTTGTTAGAAACATATTGCGCAAGGGCATTAACCTTGGCGTTTTCAACCAGAAGTATTTCCTATATACTGTAATAGCTAGGAGTGTTGTGAACAGAAATTACAAGCATTCCAGTAAAGTAACTCAATACCACATGACCTCAAAGTTTGATTTATAGTTAGGTTAAAGGGGTTGCGACATAGCTACAGTACATAGCCTACGCACATTGTATCCAGTGGTGAACCCTCAGGGCCTTCAAGTTATTCAGAGAATACCCTGGAACACTCAGATAAAGCAAACAAAAAATCGATTTGATTATATAAATAAAATGTAATAAAATTGTAATAAAATTAATAAATGAGAATCGTATCTGTGTTGTTGATTTGTAATGTTACAGTGTTACGTTGATTTGTTTGTCTTTCTCGGTCCATGCACTACGCATTTGAGTGGTTTTGTGTTAGAAAAAAAAATGCAACCAATCAGATATTTTTCTGGGTCTCTGGGTAGAATATTCTTCAACCAAGGTATTCTATATCCTTGATAGAATGCCCTGGCCGATACACTGAATGAGAGCGTACGTTTGGATTGACAGTTTGATCAACCAATCATATATTGATTTGTAGCCAATGGGTGTATTCTTTCAGAGTTTCCCTCGGTTGCAGGGTACTCTAGAAGGCCCGCTAGTTCACTGGCTCGAGACGGAGGATCTAGATAAATGCGACGTAGCAATTAATTTGCCGTTTTATTGTTTTTAACGTTTAAATGGCAACATGGTTTGTGTGTCTACAGAAGGTCCAGTAGTGATAGACACGGTTCACCACTGATTGTATCCATAGGCTAAATGCAACTTGACACAAATAACTATACACTGATGTTTTTTAACAATGGAAGTCTCAATGCACGGTCAGTTCTGACCTCTAAATGGCCAGCAAGCCTGTAAGCAAGTGCCTTTCCCTACGTGAGGCGTTGGACGTGAAGATGTTCTTAGTCTTACCCGTGTGAATGCAACCTCTCCTGTCTAGGGGGAAACGTTTAGTGGACTTAGTGGGTTAAACATATTTAAAACAAACATTAGGTTAAATATAATCATTATTATCAACTTAACAACTTAATGTTGCTTAAACTAATTTGAAAGTCCGTTCATGAAAGCATGTGTGGATGTTAAATGAGCATCAAATAATGTATCATTAGGGATTATGTCATTGTTCTTTCTTAAAAGCTGAATCAAGTCAATATTTTAAGTCAATATGTATCTACTGTCATAGCTTGGAACATTATGTCACCTATTTATTTTATTTCAAAAACATTTTTCAGATTTTCATGATTAGGCCTAATATAGGCCTCACATTTTTCAATTTTAACACCCATGTAATATGAGTGAACATTTGTATTCCTAATAAACTTTAGGAGAATAAACGGTCTGTGGGTTTTGCCAAAATTAGTCTCCCGACACTTTCTGTTTATGACTTTCTGTGAATAACGTATTGGTACAGCAGATAATCAAATTTGAATGTGAAGCGGAGATAGGGCAAAGGCAAATACATCTACATTATTCATTTTAATGCAGACCATAATGCACGGTGCTCAAACACACACACATTTACGCTTGACCGTCTGAACTGCACCAACATAATGATGGCCGTTTACATCAATCTTGGCTACTATTTGCTCCAGACAGCCATATTTAAATCTAATGAGCTTCCCTGAGACTGAGCTCCTGGCTCCAGTGAGGTTGTGCAGGACGTGTACGTGGAACCTAATCCTCTCTCACACAGATCACTGACTTACTGCGATCAGCTAATAACTCTGCCAACTCTCTCATTAACCGCTCTCAGTAACTCTGGTCTGGCGCCCGTGAATTCCACACACGGCACAGAAGTGACACACACACTCACACAAGTTCATGTACTAGATGAAAGCAGTGAGTTGTACTTTGAAATGTAAGCACACACACACATGCATTTTTTACACCCTAGGGACTTTAAAAAAAAAAGATTTGTTCCCTAACCCCTCATTTAAACTTTCACCGCTTCATGTCTGTAACATCTTGGTGAATACAAGATCTTTGATTACGGAGATCACGTTAATGACGTAATGCATGTGTGCATGTTACGCGCCAGTTGAATAAAGATGGACACTCGGAATGTCACAAGTAGTCCGCTTCATCTGTTTATGTAGACACTTATATGTCCATAGAACAGAATATTACATGGTGTCAGAATTAGTTCAGTTATCATCGACCTGACGACGGAAGATGGAGAACACAGGCGTTCCAACACCACGAATGGACTGGGACTCGTCTAATCTGCCGGACGCATGGAGAAAATTTCGGCAGCATGTGCAGCTAATGTTTTCAGGCCCGCTACATGCTAAAGACGAGGAGGAAAAATGTAGCTATCTACTCCTATGGATTGGGGAAAAAGGCAGAGACGTCTTTAACACATGGACTCTCACAGAAGACCAGAGTAAGGTACTAAAAACGTACTATGACGGTTATGAAGCTTATGTAACTCCGAAAGCAAATCCCATATTTGCACGCTATAAATTTCATGAAAAAATCCAAGGAGACAGTGAGAGTTTCGACCAGTTTGTAACGGAGCTAAAATTGCTAAGTAAAGACTGCAACTACCCAAACAGTGAGGAAATGATTAGAGACAGGATTGTCTTTGCTACAAACTCACAAAGAGTGCGTGAAAAACTGCTATGTCACGGTCCAGACTTGACGCTAGAGAAAGCCATTGACATTGCACGTTCACATGAGCTATCACAGCAGCAGCTAAAGACAATGCTAACCCCCGCTGCTAGCCACGACAGTCGCTCTGCTCACGCAGTTAGCAGAAAACCTTTTAGAGCAGACCAAGCATCCCGTGGGCACAAGACGACATGGAATGATCGTAACAGCGCCGTGAGGAGCAAGGAATGTGGAGCATGCGGGAGGGAGCACAGTCGCACTGAGGAATGTCCAGCAAAGGGTCGCCAATGCAGCAAATGCAATAAACCCAACCACTTTGCTAAAGTGTGTAGGTCACAAACACAGCAGCCACAGACGAGATATAATCCCAGAAAATTGCATACCATCTCAAACAGTGCCGAACAGTCACTAGAAGAACCAGAACTCTATATTGATGCTATCATAAAAGAGCATGAAAACACAGATAGAGAACAGGCATATGCAGAAGTAGAAATAGGAAAAGCGAGGCACAAACTGAAGTTTAAAATGGACACTGGTGCTCAGACTAGTATTATACCAGCAGACACATTCCGCGAGATATATGGAAGTGTAATACTAGGCCCCCCATCAAGCAAACTCTCAGATTATGGTGGGCACAGGATAAAAGCAGAAGGAACATGTAGACTGACATGTAAACACGGTGAGAAAACAGCCATGATAGGTTTTGACATAGTCCATACAAATGCTCCACCTCTGTTAGGCTTAAGAGCATGTCTAGATTTAAACCTAGTCAAAATGATACATGTAGTTGATGCAAAGCCGATAACACACACAACCATGATGGAAGAGTTTGCTGATGTGTTTGAAGGCATCGGACTGTTTCCTGGAGAATGCAGTTTCCAACTCAAACCCTCTGTACCACCAGTGGTATGTCCACCTCGTCGCATCCCATATGCTCTGCGTGACCGGCTCAAGAATGAGTTGGACGACATGGAAAAACTGGACGTTATCCAAAAAGTCACAGAGCCAACTGAATGGGTTAATGCACTAGTAGTGTTGGAAAAGCCGAAAACAAATAGGCTGAGAATATGCCTAGACCCCCGCGCCCTGAACAAAGCCATCCAAAGACCCCACTATCCACTCCCTACTCTAGATGACGTCACACCAAAACTGGCTGGAGCACAGTATTTCAGTGTACTAGACGCCAGATCTGGATACTGGAATATAAAACTCACACACGACTCATCTATGCTAACCACGTTCAACACGATCTACGGCAGGTACCGTTTCAAGAGACTGCCTTTTGGAATCATATCTGCACAGGATGAGTTCCAGAGGAGAGTGGATGAGGCCTATGAGGGGCTTCCAGGCGTTGCCGCCATCGTAGATGACATCATAGTCTACGGCCGCACCAAAGAGGAGCACGACGCTAGCCTGCGTGCCATGCTGGAGAGAACCAGAGAAAAAGGCATAAAGCTGAATCAGGACAAGTGCAAAATCTGTGTGCCTGAGGTAAGCTATTTTGGGCACAAGCTGACACGAGAAGGCATCCGCCCTGACCCGAACAAGATTAAGGCCATCAAAGAAATGCCTAACCCACAAAGTAAGGCAGAGTTGGAGACCATACTGGGCATGGTCACTTACCTTTCCAGGTTCGCCCCGAGAATGTCAGAGGCAACAGCTCCACTCCGGCAACTGATAAAGGAAAACAGTGAGTTTGTGTGGGACTCAAATCATGATGCAGCCTTCCAACGAGTAAAAGACATCCTAACACAGGAGCCTGGCCCAGTACTCACCTACTTCGATCACACAAAGGATATGAAGTTACAAGTCGATGCTTCCAAACACGGCTTAGGAGCTGTCCTGCTCCAGGAAGAGAAACCAGTCGCATACGCATCAAAGACACTGACTGAAACTGAAGAGAACTATGCTCAAATCGAAAAGGAGCTATACGCAGTGCTCTTTGGATGTAGGCGGTTTCATCAATACCTGTATGGACGACAGGTGATCGTCGAGTCAGATCATAAGCCACTTGAGTCAATCATGCGTAAGCCCTTAGCAGCTGCACCACCGCGTCTGCAACGCATGATACTGCAGCTACAGAGATATGACATCACTATCGAGCACAAACCAGGAAAACAAATCCCCGTCGCAGACACTCTGTCCAGAAAGCCACTTGAGTGTTACGACCGCTCCATGAGTGAGGGCATGGACTACCAAATACACACTGTGATCAGCAACGCTCCGGTAAGCGACCGCAAAATGGCAGAGATCAGAGCCGCTACAGCCAAAGATGAGCAGCTCTCAGTGCTGAGACAGGTGATCCAAGCAGGGTGGCCCGAGAAAAACAAAAAATGTCCACCTGCAGTCTCAGAGTATTGGAATCATAGGGATGAGATATCAGAGACAGATGGCATCCTACTGAAAGGAGAGAAAATCATCGTGCCGCACTCACTCAGGGCTGAAATGCTTTCACGCATTCACACTGGACACTTAGGGATGGAAAAGTGCAAACAACGTGCAAGAGATGTGCTGTTCTGGCCAAGGATGGGTAAGCAGATAGAGACATTAGTAGGGACCTGCAGTACCTGCCTTGAGCGACGCAGCTCACTCCCAAAAGAGCCTATGATGTCACACCCAATCCCAGAACAACCTTGGCAAGTAATAGCCACTGATCTGTTCACATGGAACAGTACTGACTATGTAGTTGTAGTTGACTATTATAGTAGGTTCTTTGAGGTAGAAAAAATCACCAGCCTCACCTCCTCAGTAGTCATCCAAAAGCTGAAGGCCATGTTCGCTCGATTTGGAATACCGCAGACACTAGTCAGCGATAATGGACCTTGCTACAGTTCACAAGAGTTTAAAACTGTTGCTCATGCATGGGACTTCAAGCATGTCACAAGCAGTCCTCTGTATCCACAGAGCAACGGGCTAGCAGAAAAAACAGTTCAGACTGCCAAAGCTCTCATGGACAAAGCACACGCTCAGAGAACTGACCTGTACCTCAGCTTGTTGGAGTATAGAAACACACCAGTGGATGGTTTGAAATCGCCAGCGCAGCTACTCATGAGCAAGCGTCTGCGTTCCATCCTTCCCACCACTGAAAAGCATCTACAACCAGAGCTTGCCTGTCACAGCACCGTTCACAGCAGGAGAAAACAGTGTCAAACACGACAAAAACAATATTATGACAGGAATGCCAGATCACTGCCTGCACTACCAGTGGGAGCCACGATCCGCTTCCAGCTTCCAACAGGGACATGGAAACCTGCAACAGTAGTCGAGCCAGCAGGTACCCAGAGATCCTACAACATCTGCACGGACGGAGGTCACAAGTTTCGGCGCAACAGGCGTCACCTTCTACAAACGTGTGAGAGTGACACAGATCAGGAGACTCCATCAGATGAGCAGTTGGAGCCTGAGAACACTGAGACTTTGCAGCAGGACACTGAGAAACAAACAGGCCCCAGAGAGCAATCACACATTGTTTACAATAAAATCACAAGATCAGGCCGCATAGTGAAGCCAAGAGATGTGTTAGACCTATGAAAAAAGAAAGGAGAGGGAAATGCAATACTGACAGTGCACTTTGAGTGAATCTGTTTATAATGCAACACTGACAATGCACTGTGATTTTTGTTTGTTTAGAAATTTAAAAACAGTTTTGTTTCAGAAGCAGTACGACATGCTCTATTAGAATTATTTCTGGGCAACTGTTCAAAAAAAGATAAGTTAAAACTGCAGAAGTGTTTACTAAATGTTGATGTACCAGCCTTATAATATTCCCTCAGTGATAGAGTAATCACTATTAGTAGATATAGTGCCTTAAGACGCACATTCATTTTAAATGCTTTAAATGCATATGGTTATAATTTGTTATGGCAGCTATACTGTTCTTTTCTAAAGAAGGGGGATGTAACATCTTGGTGAATACAAGATCTTTGATTACGGAGATCACGTTAATGACGTAATGCATGTGTGCATGTTACGCGCCAGTTGAATAAAGATGGACACTCGGAATGTCACAAGTAGTCCGCTTCATCTGTTTATGTAGACACTTATATGTCCATAGAACAGAATATTACAATGTCTAGAAAAGAAAATGCCCCTAATGCTAACCTCAATACATTTTGCACAAAACCATGAGTATCAGCATCATAGCGACGCTAAAGAAAAGTCAAGGATAATTACATCATTAGAATACATCGTCTAGGGAACATGCCTGTATGTACCAAATGTTGTGATAATCCATGTTGTATAGGCTGAGATATGACTGGATAATTTCGATCTGCTGGTGGCGCTTGATATATTATTAGACTTGGGAATCAACAAAACTATTAAGAGTTATCTTCTGGACACCATTAAAATAAGTTCTAAATGTCATGGCAGTTCATCCAATGGCTGTTAAGTATATATATATCAGCGACGTGCAGTCAGGGGAGGCAGGGGAGGCAGAGCCTCACCTGTCATACTCCAATGTAACGGAAAAACAACTAAAGAAAAACGAAATAGTAATAATAATAAAATGTCTCCACTGATCTGTGTTGTAAGTGTGATTTATGTATGATTCCAATTGCTTTTTATAGTCAAAATCAGCCAATTTGCCGAGCTCCGCTACAACTACGGGGAGCGATGAGAAGTGAGGCAGGGACGTGCACGTGCTCTGCCTCTCGTAAGCCCACAGTAACTTGCTGGAGCACGGGCACTAATTTAGCGCGGGCACTTATTTTGTGAGCGCGCTCAAGCCAGTTACTGTGGGGTGAGGTGAGGCACAGATGAGCTCTGCCTCACCTCAGAATGCGTCACCCCACAGAAACTGGCTGGAAAGCGGGCACTAAGCGCATGCCTGTTACCATCTCACTGTAGGTCACCAATGTAATGTTTGTAGTAGATCCCTTTATTACATGTGTCCTCGCCATCCATAGTCTCTAAATAACTTATTTCACATAGATATGATATTTAGGCTCGCTGGTCTCATCATACAACGGCAATGAAAAAAGCACCAGGGGAGGCAGCCATAACCTCTGCCGCACTGAAGGGGGCGCACGTGAGCCCACAGGTTCTTGTTGCTACTGTTATTCTACGCAGAGACGCAAACAACAAACTAGACTTTTGAAACTACAGGACGATAAGGAGGACTTTTACAAAAAAGTAATAGAGATTGTTGTCCAGAAGGATAGCATGGACTTCATCTTCAAGTCAAGGTAAGACCACAATTGTAATGAAAATGGGATCTTACTAAGAAAGAACAATCCAATATTTAGATTTTGGGTATCCTTTTGTTGAACGGTCTGTTTAAAATGAATCGAAGCATCAGACTAAAAAAGCTTTTGAAAATAACCGACTATTTCGATTAAGGTCAAAATATAATATTTGTAAATCTGACTCTGAAAGAGTCAGTGCCTCACCAGCCATGAACCTCACCGCACGTCACTGATATATATATATGTATTTGAGTCTATACCAAGTGGTACACTTACGACAAACACATGAACAGTTTCAACACTTCGCAACAGCTGAAAACTCAGCTAAAGAGCTAACGTGCTAACATCATTAGTACAGTGTAACAGTTTGGTGCTCTGTTTGGTGAATGAAAATATGTGACATCACCTTTTCCCTACTGAGCCCCGCCCACTTTAAACCAGAAATGTTGGACATTAGGATTCTTTCATGTGGAATAACAACAGGTGTTCTTTGTGACACTCCATTGCTCATACTAAGAAGCTTATTGAAGTTCCTTTAATATTCTTAACATTTTCCCATATGCCTTACAATCAAGAGTACAACTAGCAACACGTTCTCCAAATATGGCGCCACTTATTTAGGACACAAACATTACCTTGAACCATTCCAGTCGCCCTTGAACCACTTGAATTCTTATTTATAGACTTGGGAAGCATAAACTAAAGGCTAGTAAAATTAGAAATATTTATAAACACACAAATAAACATACATATTTACACAGTCGGCCTCTAGAAGGCATGGTGAACCAAAGGTCAGTTGTTTATAAAAACCTAGGAACTTATAACCATCTTTATTTTATTAATGAGAACATTTATGTTTTTTAAAAGCTATGTGGATGTACCACTAACTCAAGAAGATTAATGACTTAGGGGTTAGCTGGAATTTTCTTGAAATAGCCTACAAAAATGGAAAGCTTCTTAACGTGGTCGCTTGTAAGGACACTTGAATGTCAAATGTAATGGGGAAACTCTCAAGAGTGGTTAACACAGGTCAAATTGTAGGTAAACAACAGATGCAGCAAAGCAGCAGACATGTCTTGAACACCAAAAAGAAAGCTCTTGACATAACAAGGGACCTGAGGCCTGTACTACGAAGCCGGAGTTTCGCTTAGCCGGCTGACTTCAGGGAAAACTCGGGCTTTCCGGTCCTACGACGCTGGTTCTCTTTTTAGCGGGCTAGATCTCCATGGTAACTTATGCTGAGCGGCTAACCTCCTCGGGAGGAGGTTAGGTTGCAGGCTAAGAGATCAACTCAGTGAAAGCACCGCCTGCTGACCAATCAGAGCTCCGTGTGCGGAGTTTAAAGCAATCAAGTCATATTACAGGATAGAGGAAATACAGAAAAACTGCCTATGCAGGAAAGACGGCCGGCAAAAATCAACTGACTGTGTGAACGTGAAAATTAATAGAATATCCCCTCCCATCTTCAGACCAATCTGACTATTATAACATTAGCGTTAAGAAAGCTTACTTAAATATCTGCCACGACATAAGTAACCGGATCAGAGTAACATTAAGTACAGTCCGCGGCACTGTGAGTGCAGACGTCGATGTGTCCCATTATCATTCATATCATATCACATCATAATGTATCATATATTTCCTTATTTGAGTCAGCTTCTTGAGCCGTATCTGGCCGTGCAACACTCACAGTGTCACATACTGTATGCAGAAGTATTATTTTAAGCAACACATTAAGTTGACGAAACACTCGAGTCAAATGTAATTAAAGTCAGATCCACTCGTGTCTTGGACGGGGCAGTGATATCATAAACCTGTTAATGTACGCATTCAAACGCTTTTTCTTTTACCAGCTGTATTCACCTTGCAGGTGCAGCTATGTGGCTTTTATCCTGGATAAAGTGTTTAAGTCATGGATGTTTAAAGTTTAACTTCTTCATATTTGACTAATATTAAAGTTCACTTTTCATTCTGGAAGTATGACGCTGCGCTGTCAGTACGCTTGTCCATGTTTGAGATTGGTCGAATGCTCCAAATACCACCCCTTTCATGTGAACGCGCACCTAACTAGATAGGACACGGCTGGCTTGAGCGATCCACTTGATAACCAGCGTCGTAGTACAGCTTAGCGAGAGCGCGTATGTTTTGGATTGGGCCAACCGGCTAACTCAAACATATCCAGGTTAGGTTGAACCAGCTTCGTAGTACAGGCCTCTGGTCTATCCATTGTACCCATGTAATTGCTTGATTTAGGAAGGCACTTTAGACTGACCACCAATGCCCGACTACAGTTGGATTATTAAATAAATAGTAAACTGTATAGGGAACTGTACAGAATTTGCAAATTGTTCCTTTAATATAATAGGCCTACAGAACTGTATTTGATTGCGTATGATTGAAATGAAGTTCTTATGACTTGTTTACTCAGAGTTATTATCCTACTTGTAATCCATATTGTTTTTGGTCAGGTCAACAACAATTACCCCCCATTGCGGACAATAAAGTTTCTTACTCAGTAACTTAATTGGAGATCCTGGGTTGTAGAAATAGTTTAGGATAAGAGGACATCTTTAGAACAGTTCTTTAGCTGGTGCTGCATTATGTAGGTTGGATACAGGTTGTTTATATATCATTTACATTGAAAATTGTCACGACCTTAACACAAACTGGAGAACCCAAATGCACGACCCAGAGACAGTCTTGAATGTAGCAAAAAATGTATTTTTAATTTCAAGAAAACAGAAAATCCCTCTTAACAGAGTAGGTACTGGATTTAACAAAAAGCGCTCACAAGGAGGAAAAAACAAGCGTAACAAAAAGAGAATTTAAGATTAACTTAAAGTGGACCTATCATGCTATATTTAAATGATATATTGTAGGGCCATACCTATATAAGGTATATTTATACGTTTCTGTTTTCAAAATACCAAACAGATCATGCATTTTAGCCATGCCTCATTTCGCTCTATGTGCTGTTTGCTGTCTACGGGTCTGATTCTGCTGACCACGCCCCCCTGCAGGAGAGGTGAGCCGTGCTCTGATCAGCTGTTGGGCTGTCAGAAGAGGGGGAGAAAAGAGATCTCCGTCCTCCGTGTTTTATTATATAGAGTCGTTATTCATTTCGTTTTAAAGCTCAATAAATAACAAAGAAGACCTTTGACCGGCACTTTTCTAATTTTGTCCGGAAGATTTAAACTTTAACGGACATCTTGACCGGCGAAAGAAACTGAAACAGCCGCACGGTCCCCTCGTTCCTTGGAAGAGGCGGAGAGGTGGGTGTTTGTCATCTGCTGGTGGACTAACCGGAGAGAATTACAGTGCTTGCCTCGACGGGGAGGGATTGCA